GCGCGCTGCGCCCGCCGTGCCCCGGAGGGGGGGTCGCTGCGCATGCGCGCCGCGCGGGCGGGCGCCCCCTGGCGCCGCGGAGGAGGCGGCGGCCCCCGGGAGGGCGGCCCGGGAAATGGAGGCGCCATGCTCGGGGCCATAAACTCCTAGTTGATCTTCGTTTTTCCTTTATTTTTTTTTCCTCCCTTCCCCCCGCCCCGTGAAAAAGTAGGGGGAGGTGGTTGACACAAGACCCCTCCCTCACGCTGGCTTCCTCCCCATGCAAGAGGGACCTGCAGTTAAATCGAGGGTTTCAAACAGCACACGGGATATGGGACTCCAGGCAGTTTTTGGCAAATGGTTGTTCTCGCAGTTTGTCAAACAAAGTTGGGGCATGAAAAGAGGAAAGGATGGGGAGTGGGAAGATGGGAGATAGGGAAAAAGAAAAAAAAACACAGAAATACCTGTAAAGGTTTATCATGGGTGGGGAGGGGAGTTCCCTCGTGTGAGGTGCAACTGAGCAGGAGAAGCACCGCTGGTTACCATAGCGGATGAAAAACAAAACAAACAAGCCCTCCAAAACCATAAAGTCTGTATTTCAACATCATCATCTTCCAAAATAACTGTACTTTAAAAAAAAACCTAAAAAATATACACTTAAAAACGTGAAGTTTCTGGGATCTGTTATCTGTAAATATACTGTGATTGTATAATGATCCAGATTATGAAATGTTCCTTGTTCTTTCTGCAGTTGTTTTATTAATGTTACATAGAAGCTGTTCATCCTCTTCATAGAAAAGAGAGAGGGATAATACTCATTAACAACCAGCCTAAAGACTGTGCTAAAGATTTCCTTTTTGTTTGGTTGTTTTTTTTGCTTTTGTTTTGGAGCCATTGATTAAATCTGCACATATCAGCCTTGACAATGATGACTCACACTGAGCAGTTCCCTTGCGTGAGATGATGGATATTGTGGGATATTATCTGCTCCTAGAAGTCATCGTTCCAGTCACGCAGTGATGAAAGCCGAGAAGGGAAGGCAGAGGGGGGAACAAAAAGAAACCTGGGGAACAAAGTGTGAATATTAGAGACTCAATCCTGACCCACCAGAGCATAACCCAGTTAGCATATGTCACCCCGCTCAAGAGAATCCTGGGAAGACACATTTGGAGTCCAGCAAAATAAACAAGAGAATATTGTGTCCTTCCGAGGACAATTACATTTCATTGTTTAGCTACTTAAATGCAGACAGGCTGAAAACACTAAGACATGAGATAGCAAATAATAGTATTGGAATCCCTCCATGCCCGAAGGTAAAGCTGGTAACAAGCCGAGCTGTCAGCATCAGTAACAAAGTAGGAATTAAAAAAAAAATCATGATTGCCTTTAAGGGATACAAACAAAAAGGCATCTGGGTAGATCTAGATCTATGCGTTGTGCTTCTGCAATACAACAAATAACTTGCTTGTTTTCAGGCTCTGCTTTAGTTTTCCTATACTTTCTTAGGATAGATATTGCTCCCTGTGACAGGAGAGCTTGCTCTGAGAAAATTAGAGCAGAATATTGGTAAAAAGTGAAAACTTTATTAATGTTATTATAGTTAGAAGGGCATTAACTCTAGTGTGTTAGCAATCAACCCATATTTGCCCCATTATTTCTGTTATAATTTGGTATGCCAGAACCAAGGCAAACAAGTTGTCCTACTGCAAAGGAGGAAAACTTTATTCTATGCTCCAACAGCTGTTCTTCTGTAAAGGTTATTTTGGCCAAACAATATTCCAGTTTGTTTTTAACTCGCATTCTTGGTGTATTTACGCAGTCAAGTACCCCCCTTCACAACTGCAGGCTATTTGGAGAACTTCTGTAACAAATTAAGTTTATTGGGTGTTTTAGGGAATGCCATCATGCTGAAGATATAGCTGTTTTGACTTAGACTTGGCCAAGCAAGAAGGATCTTGTAAACATGTATTGCAGTAGTTTTCTTTACTTGATACCCTTTCAACCACTGAGATGCGGCACTTGCAGAGTAAATAATCAGGACAATGCTATATAGGGTACATAGCACAAACATCGGTTTTGGAAAATACTCAGATCAGCTAATCTGAATTTCTGGACTAAGCTTATGAGCACACTAAAAAAAAAAAAAAAAAAGTAAATGCTTGATACCACAAGAACAGAAAGTTAATCACAACAGTAAAAAAGCACTGAACCCTGCCACTTCAGTATACTGCTGTTTGTAAGAGCAATACTGCAGCAGCTTTGAACCATTGGAAATATTTTAGTCTCTCTTATCTCTTTGTTCAAGGGAATGCAGTTTTATACTTTTCCCCCAGCAATCTTCTCTGGGACTACCAAAAAATTATCCTTTTCAAGTTAGTTATCAAGAGAATTGCTAAATTCTGTGAGAATATAACTTAGGTCTAAGTAGGACTATCAGAAAGTTAAAACTTTACCGAAACTAGGTGAAATTTATTATAGCACAAAACAAGCATATTATCAGCTGGTATTTTTTCATTGCAGTCATCTTTGCAGTTTAAACCCAAGATGTTAACAGCACGTGAAACACTCAGCACAAAACAGAAGAAACGCTGATTTACCCACTTCATTATTATGAGATAGAACTGCTATGTCTCTTCCCCATCTTGGACATGGTGTTTGTTTTCAGATAAATCTTGATGAAGAAGGCTATCATAGCTCACTACCTGCTTTTCTGCCATCGATCCCTTGGCTCAGAATCTACAGCTAGTCAGCAGCATTGCAACCCTGACTTTTAAATCCTGCTGACTGATATTTCTTTCTGTGGATTGGATATAGTAACCAAAGTTACAATTTTAATCTCCCCTCCTTTTCTCCTCCCTCCCCCCACTAAAAAAAAAAAAATAAATAAACCTTCATAATTGATCAGCCTAGGAATGTATCATACTTTACTGTTCATTTCACAGAGAAGCCAAAATTAAAATATTTCCTTGCTACTGGGGCACTAACGGTCTTTGTTTATCTTCAGGTCTTGACTCCCTCTCTACTATTTACATGCAAGTGCAACCCTATAGAAAAACTTTGATCCAAATTTGGAATATTGTCATAGATGGCCATAAAACTATTTTATTCCCTGTATACAGTAACAGAATATATTGAGAAGTAGGTTTATCTATAAGAAGGCAAGAAAGCAAAACATTGCTCTACAATGATCCAATTCCATTGTGAGGCAACTAGTTTTCTCCTAAAACCCACCAGGTATTTTTTCTGGTTTTTATTTACAGTAGAAAAGTTTGTGACAATGTTAGCATCTACTACTTGCTGAACACATTGCCATGATGTTAGTACCTGAAGGAGGCATATCTGCTATTTTCACAGCTTTTAACAAACTTCTAAACAAGAGCCCAATCCCTTCACAGACTGCACTCCCTTCTGAGCCGCTCTGTTCCCTCATTCTTCAAAACCTTTCATGACAAGTCACACCACACTCAGCCTCACAAACTAATAAATCCCTACGAAATCACTCCATGAAATTCACTCCTGTATATTACCGCTTCTGCCACTAGAAACAATGGGGAGAAAAGTGGGTATATTCCATAGCGTTTCAGAACATATCAGGCATGGATTTACCAGCAGGAAAAACTGCACGCAGCGAGGCCTCATCTCCCTGCTGTGCTGGCAGGTCCAGCGCTCACATCACATGCTGCAGCTCCAGCTGTAGGGCAGAAAATGGCCTGCATCCCCCTTTATCCTAGCACCATTCCTCCCCTGCTTCCAGATCCACCCGGCTTTCCAGGATGCACCCTGCCTGGACATCACAGGTTGCACCATGCCCTCCTTCCCAGGGTGGAAGAACAAACTTCTTGCATTCATATATCAAGAAATGAGAGAAAATTATTATCATTATCATCCTCATTATTTTTATTAACTATACCTGTGACTAAAATAGCCCTGCAGAGAATTTCACAGTGCTATTTAGCAAGAGTTCAGCTCACTGAGTGGAGGGTGCTAATTACTGATCTGCACACACCTGGACCACAAAGCTCCCAGTACCATTAATCCTGCCTTTGCAATCTGTCTCAGCTGCCTGCTGCACTCAATATATGAGCTCTTTTAGTGCACTTTCCAGGCCCTGTGGTTTTCTTTAGGCAAAATAAGCAGACCAAGGTCAGATTTTTCCCAGAGAGTAGTTACTAAAGATCCTTATTATCAAGGAATGCTCAAAGGGGAACAAATTTTAAATTTTGATCTACACTCACAAGGAAGTCATATGAGAACCAAGGAGAAAAGAATTCTTCCCAAATTCCAACCTTCCAACTCTCCACTGCAATAACAGCATCTTCAGTTCCACTCCTTTTTCTTTGTAGTCCAGAAATTATCTCTATACATCTTTCTGTTGTATATTTTTGGAAAGCCTGGTCCCTTTAGTATCACTATAGGAACCTCTTGCAGGTGTTTTAGCATGGCTGAAAAATCAACTGTAATGGCTTAATGCTCCTATTGCTAGAGATAGGAGGTAGTTTGCACTTCTAAGATGAGCTTTCCTCTGAGAGATGGTACAGTTAGTGTTTCTTGCAAGAAAATTATGGCACCAAAATTTTTAGCATTTACCTTCATGCTACAAGACTTAATTCTGTGAGCTTGTCCATACAGAAATGACTCACGGAAGCATCATCAATATCCCAATGACTGGAAGGTCTCTGTGAAGAGGGAGGCATTTTCTAGCATTTCTGGTACAAGAATTTCCTAAAAAACACCATGGACATGATACATAATAAACAAGGCTAAAATTAGAATATCCAAACACCGAGTTTACAGTATTTTAGCAG